TGGTCAACAGTCTCTAACTTGGTTTTTCGCAAGTTCACATGCAAAACTGGCCAAAACTGGTCATAAACATCTAGGTCGAGAAGAACCACCTCCGTGGACAGCGGAGTCGGCAACGGAGCATGGCGGCGATGCTGTGCCGGAATCCTAAATTAGCCGAAAAAGCTTTAAAATATTTATTTTTACTTTTGGGAGTATTTTTAGATACGTGACGGATATTTTAATTTATGCATAAAAAATTCTGAAAATCTGGGAACTGCTAGGAGACGAGTGAAAAGTACAGTGTTTTGAATACTGATCTAGAGTAAGAATCCATCACCCTTTCCCTATTACGGTAAATTAAAGCTTAATAATCAATAATATTATATTTTGTGAAAATTAGAAAACTATAAAATTAATTACAGGTTACTAGTAGAGCCGGAACCGGTTAGTGCATAGTTGTCTTGATTTATGTTGATTTTCTCTTATACTATCTAAAATATTTACTGTTATGTTGTGTGCTTTAAATTACTAGTTTTAAATTGCTTCCTAGATTATTTAGTTTACCTATCTGTGTTGCCCTCATCTATTAATTTGTTTGCAATAAATGTCTTAATTATGTTTTTTTTATTTACGTATCGTTTATTTGCATGACTTACTGTTGATTTCTAAATATGAGATATTGGTATATAATTGGTGATTGGTTGATGATGTGGAATATATATATGAAAGGTTTATCGATACTCTGGGGAAGGGTGTATGGACCCAATGCATACGAAAAGCCCTACCGTGGGTATTACCTCAGTCGAACGGAGCTGAGAAGTCCCATTCTGGAAGAGGTTGGGCAGTATAATTCACTCTTATGTCGGACGGGTTATTGAGGTGGTGGTATGTTTTGGCGCCCATTATCGGATGGGATATTGGGATGACTGGTTAATCGATAAATTGGATATTGGGCCCATGACTAGCGGTGACCCCTATAGATCCCAGGAAGTACTGGTAAATAAGTAAAAAGGTAAGTTGCTATTCTTACCCACTTGGATATGAAATCACAATGTTATTTGAGTTATTGTCTTCATAGATCGTTTTAGAAAACTCATAAATGGTAAGTATGGAATAAACGAAATTTATATTAAATAAATTTATTTATCTAAACTAATGGTTCCATTAGTTATTTTATAATTTTTACCAATTTTTGATTTTTCGTATAAGTGATAAGTGTGATAGCTTTACTAGGTTAGTGTAGCTCATTCTCCTATTTAACAATTTCAGATTAAGAAGACCAAGACCTAGATCTTGAACAGTAGGAGGGTTGGAAATAAAGGTTACCTTCCGGACCCCATCAGAGTTTTCCAACGGAGGTTAACCCCATATGATTTTTATCTCTTTTGTTTTAACCATTTGTTCCATTATTATGAACTGTTATAAAAGAGATATTTTTGTAATCCTATTGGGTATCTCTATTTACTGTGTAAGTAATGTAAACTATAAATTATTATTTTCTTCTGCTATTACAATATATATTTTTTTATTAAGGTTTTGAGTCTTTATAGTTGGTATTAGAGCCGCGTTCATCAGAACCATTTCTTATATAAATATTTAAAACACTAAAATATAACCCGATACTCAACCATCTTTTGTGAAATGCAGGTACAAGGAAATGAAAAGAGGAAGACCCCCACTAAAACGAGTAGTTTGAGATAGGTCACTTTGAGAGTATTTCGATTGACTCTTTGAGATGCTGGAGAGACTTATCTCCACTTAGGAGGCCTGAAAAGTGAGGAAGGAGCTGTCTGACCCTCCCCCACTACAACAATATGAGTCACCCCTGCATCAAGAAGATCCAGTGCCACCCTGATATAGTCCTGCTCCACCATATCATCTAGCACCGCTACAATACGATCTGATGCACCCACCATACAACCAGGTGTTGTCACAGGGCCACCTGATCCCTCTCTAGCATAATCTAATCCCTTTTTTATAGGACCTAGTTCCACCCATGATTGACCCTAACTACATTGAGAGGTATAAAAGATTAAACCCATATATTTTTGTAGGGGCATCCTCATTCGAAGATGGTAAATATTAGTTAGCCGAGAAAGAGAAGATCTTCGCAATTCTTGGGGTAGTTTCCGAACAGAACATTTTACTTGCCACTTACATGCTCATGGGAGAGGCAGGTCGCTAGTGACAGCTGAAACAGGCCACCCTGCCCATTCCAGTCACTTGAAAACAGTTCCTGGTAACCTTCAAAGTAGAGTACCTCTTAAAGCATCTTTGATATTTGAAGAAAATGGAGTTTGCACACTTGGTCCAAAGTGAGATGATAGTGTCTAAGTATGCCCGAAAGTTCATAAAGTTAAGTTAGTATTCTCCTGAGGGTATGATGGATGAAAACAGAAAAGTAAAGAAGTTTGAGTGGGGCCTCCGTCCTGAGATCAGACAACAGCTA